CTGGCGGCCGACCGTCTTTTCAGTACAACTTCGGAATGTTTTTCGCTAATTTTGAAAGAAGAAAAATGATTTTAAAGAAAAGACGGCCGGCCGCCAGGGATCATCAAACAAAATACTAGAAAATTTTTCGCTCCTTTTTATTATATTAGGTCGTTCCGAAAGTTCTTTCCGTTTTTTCAACCTATCATAAAAACACATAAAATGAAGGGAGGAGAACGCTTTAGGCACTATCCGACGCATTTTTTCTTTTTCTTTTCGAAAGTCATACTACTGTGTCGCTTGCTCTTGTGGTCAGTTAGATAATGGCCGAAATTTCGAACCCGTGGTTTTTACCTTGTCCAACTTTGGCAATTTTTCACAATTTTCTTTTCTGACTTTTGGAGAAGCTTTAATAGCAGTCGGATAGAGTAAACAAAGTGCAATTTAATGGGATTTTTTAACAACTTCAACTGCCTTCTCAGTATTTTTTGAGACAACTTTTTCAGAAGTCTTCACTTTTTCGAAGTAACAAAACACACAAATGCTCCGAACAATAGCAAAGCCTCGGATTTTGACACTATCAAAAGTCGTTTATGGTCCAAAATTTTTGCAAAGTAACTGAGTGTTTACCGCTTCGAAATATAAGATTTCGCATTTTACGTGCACACCCTCAGGCGGGTTCAAAATCAAGAGTTAGGAAATTTGATCGCAAAAAGCCCCACCAATTGGGAAGAAAAGTACTCAGTAGAAAGGGGAGGAAAAGCTGCATCGAATGACACCTTAGTTGTGCGCCGTTTTATGTTCTATAGTTCTTGGCATCACCGAAAGTGGAATTTGATAGCATCAGAGAAATAATTCTAAACAAATTTTAGGGCTAACAATAGATGCCAAAAAATTCCAATAAATTGCACTTTGTTTACTCTATCTATTCGACTGCTATTAAAGCTTCTCCAAAAGCCAAAAAAATTGTGAAAAATTGCTAAAGTTGGACATGGTGACCACGGGTTGGAAATTTCGGCCATTATCTCACTGACCACATGAGCAAGCGGCACAGTAATATGACTGCTGAAAAGAGGAAGAAAAAATGCGTCGGATAGTGCCTAAAGCGTTCTTCTATCTTCATTCCATGTGTTTTTATGATAGGTTGAAAAAACGGAAAGAACTTTCGGAACGACTTAATATTAGGTTGATGCACAATTCTTGCACCAAAAAACACAAAAAATTATTTTGAAAATGCTTAAACAAGCTATTCAACTTTCATGTTCCGCTCTATGTTATGTGTATCAAAAGAAGTTAGAAAATCAATTTGAAACAAAATCGATAAGTCATTTCAAAAAAATCGAAATTCGTATATTCGCAGAGACGTTCAATCACTACCAGCTTCTCTTAGTCAAAAAGAGCATGCCATAAAACTTGCACCAAAAATGGATCTAAATTCTAGTCGTTTTAGCAATTTTAGTGACTAAAAATCGAAAAATCACTTTTTGGTATTTCTCTTATTCACCTTGTATCGTTGCCAGATGCCTTCAAGGACTTTTGACTCGAGCACCTTCAGAAAGCGCAAGATTTGCTCTCTCTACTATGTATCGAACCAGAAGATTTCATCGCAGCTGGATGATGTAACAGAATTTTGGTACTTTTCCGTTATCCGGACCCATTTTTTCAAAGAAGGATATTGCTTCTTTCCTTGTATCATATTTGCTCCTAAATTCACAGGAAAGGAGTGTCAACCTTTTGCCACGTGTCAAAAAAATTTGACATGTCATCCACATGTTTAGCAGGTTTTACCAAGAGTTTGTATTGCCCTACCTACTGACTTAAGTTCAATCGATTTTTCAATCAATAATGACCCCATTTTCGAGTAACAATTTCAAAAATAAATATCATTATAATTGTGACGTTATTCTATTATTAATGAACAGACCCGACTTGCTCAGAATAGAGAATTGCAATAGATTCTCATCATTTTAGCGGCGAAACAAGCAGTAGCGAGGTACTTCAGCCATCATTTACAGTCCTTCTTGGCTAAAATAGCATGGCGGACAGAGTTTGAAGAGAATAGTCATTTTTGAATCATTCCTAAAAGGAACAAATGTCCTAATATAAATTCTAAACTGTTTTTCTCTTACAGAAACCGATAAACAGCTTTTAGGTGATCATGCATGCTCTTTTACCACACCGGGATTACTTACGAAAAAAAAAACATGTCAAATTGGACCAAAACGTGTCAATTTTTTTCTGCCACGTGGCAGGGAGGGCGGTCCTCGTAGAACCTATGAAAAAATTGTTCCCCAAACTAAATAGCGCATTCATGAGAGCTTTTTGAAAAAATGGGTCCGGATAACGGAAAAGTACCAGAATTTTTAAGATTTTGGTGCAAGAATTATGCATTAACCTATTATTTATAGTGAAGCACAGTAGGAATACTTACGGATAGGTAGACTGCGTAAAATCAAATTTCTGGAGCTTCAGGATATGAGTAATTCTTTTTAGAATGCGATCCCCTTCCCGGCGGGAAGTGGTAGACTTACGGTACCATACGATAAAGCGGAGCAAGCACTACAAAAACACCACGATCCACCTAACTCCGTAATCCAGGCTAAATTTGGAGACGGATCAGAGTTTTCCAGCTACCTTAAAAGTCGGGTTCCTTTCAGGAAATTCCTACAGACTTCAAACTTGGTCTTCATAGAGCAAACGCATTGTAGTACCCGAAAATGTGCATTTGGTGAATTTTTTTCGCGGTCTGAAATTGAGAAAAATGGTCCAAAAATGCCAAAGTGGCAGTTTTTGAGGTTTTCCATGTAAAACTTGGTATTTCTCGAGCATGAGAGCACATATAGCGGTGTTTAAGATAATACTTATTGTTAGTAATTCTTGTACTATACAATAACATAAGTGGGAGGGGCTGGGAGCGGAGCTGCATTTTTGGACTATCTTTTTTTCTCGCTTTCTATTCGCGGGGAAAATTTAGTAAGGACATATTTAAGCACTACTTGGAAATCCGTAGGATTTTTCCTCGCAAAAGTCCAACTTTTACGTGACAAAATTTTTATTCGATTTTGGCTTCAAACTCAACATGGAATGCTACTTAAGCGAACCCTTGGTGATCATTCCGTAGAGCTCGATCTGCTCTATCGCATGATACCCCTAAGTCTACTAGAAAATCAAAAACAGTTCAAAATTTTGAAGGAAGTTCACTTTGCGGACAATCTGCAGGGTGGGGCGAAGGTCTGGGAGCCGACTTTGCAGTGTTGTAACTCACGAAACCGCTGATGATTTCAATTCCAAATTTGTGCCACAAAATACTGCGATCATCCTCCACAAACCATACTTTACATAGCTGAAAATGCTTGCCATATGTATTTGTAAGAATTTTTTTATCAAGCAAGTGCTTCAGCAGAGCGAAAAATTCAAATTTTTCAGTATTCACGGTTTTCGTAGCAAAAGACACTGTGAAATTTCTACAATTACAACTAGACAATTCAATTCAATTAGATGCATACGATGTAGAGGAAGCTTTGCGCTATCCATCGTAGTAGTTTACCAGAAACTATTCTTTCGAAAACGCAAAATAAAAAACTTGCTAAATTACCTGCGTGCCAGTGGCTATTTGTCTCTAAATCAAAATTCTAAACTATAGGAACGCAGCTGGTACCGAGTATTGGGCTATATTCTTTCTACGAGTCTTCTATATAAGCATTTATTTGAATTTGATCAATAGAGCAAATTCAGTTCTTCTTAGATTAAAATTTTTCGCTCCCATTCGCGCAATCTCATCCAAATTTCCAATATGCGAGTATATTGCCTTCACTTGAAAATCAAAAAATTTTTTTCATAAACCTCGCAAAAAAAATTCTTCGTGAAATATGTTGTAGCCAAAAGCTTGCTTTATTTTACTGTAAATTATTCTAGTGAAAGAAACACTTATCATGAAGGAGTGGAACATTTCATTTCGACTGCCTGCGTGCCATGATAAACAGACTTGCCAGGATTATGAAGGGCTGCTTTGAAACCAAAAGAAGCAATCTCAAAATCTGAGAGCTGCGCTCTATTTGTAAAGGTTCGGTTCATGTGTGCACCGAATTTTCCGTTTATAGTTTCTTCACTTCTGCTTTCATCTAGAAAGTTACTAGGCTCCCTTCACTTCTGCTTTTATCTGGAAAGTTACTAGGCTCCTAGACTTTTGCCCCACCCTGTAATTATATGATACGACCTATTTCTTTAAAGTTCAACATACAACTTTATTTAAGCTCTAAACAAAGCTTCTGTTCGTTCACAGTCTTCAAAACCTGCTTTACACGTAATTGGGTGTGCAGTATCTCAAAACGTGTTGAGTCGAAATGTTCCTTGATACAGTTTCTTTTTTGTTGCAAATCAGCGATCGTGTATGAATTATCATGACTTGAGTGCCAAAAACAAATATGCCTGAAGAATTTCGACATTTCACTATGTGCTAAACCGTTACTTATAATAATATTACAAAAGACAAGCAGCAGTTTTGCAGGCGACCATTCGGGGGTTCACTTTTGCATATGAGCGGCTCCTAGATTGTGAGGCGAAGCTGCGACGCACCTCCTGCGTTGGTTGCCGTGTGCTGAGACATACCCGATCCATAATTCTTTCCTGATCAGCACGAATTCGCCTCGTTACAGTTGGGGAGTCGACCATAATAGCAACCAAATTCCATCGCCTTGGCAATATCATCCCAAATTTTAATGCAAGCCGCAAAAACAAGCTGTTTATTAATGAAAATTGTCACAGAAATAGGAGATAGTGCAAGCACCCTCATAGGGCAAAAAGGACATTAGATTTGAATATGCATGTAGCTAAGCGCACGAATTGAACCGAATCCTTGGACTCCTGCTGCAAATTATGTGCTCATCCTTTGCATTTTTTGTTTACCTTGTTTCATAATTACACGAAACATAAGGGTAATAAAGGAAGCTTGGTGCTTTTCGAGTAATTTGGATAATTTTTCACATTTGTGATTACCATTTTCTACTCAATGTTGCAATATTCTAAAATTCTCCAGTAAAAAAATCTTTACCAGTAAGATTCAGCGTATTTAAATCCCAACAATATCGCTCAGCCACAATGACTGGCCAGTGAACAAGATATAACACGTAGGATATATCTCCACAGTATAATATGTAGCTATTCGTGAGAATATACACATTCGCGTCGGGAAAAATTACTGTTCCAGCAATAAAAGTTGCACATAACCTGTCATTGAAATTTTTGAGAGTGATAGGTAAAAATGATACATGAACTTTATTGCTTCTTCCGAAATTCTTTATGCAAAGAAGGCTTGCAAGTGTTCCTAACCAGACGCCATAAGAGATAACATAACAGTTTACAGCATGCTTTATTGTTGCCTAAGTTTTCTTGCCAAAAAGTTTTCAGTCAATCCGCGCCTCTATGCGTGCTGTGGAAAAACTGGTGATGTCAATGATAAAGTCAGCAAAATACTCAAAAGATATGAAGTGAAAGGAGAAATCGGAATTTTTTATGTTTTTCATGACTATTTTACCCAGTTCAGCAAAAATGCTCAGCATTTATTAAGTACTAGCTTACTGTCTCAATTTTTCGACTTTTGTCGCCTTTTGTCGCCTGGTGTTCAAAGCAGCTGTTGTAAGAGATTTTGACCCCAAGTGTGATCTTATCTTTATTTGGAAAGCGCTTTTTTTGTCTTTTATACGTAAAAAATTTCAACAAATTCTCAGTCTAACGAGACTGCAGGCCTAGGATCTCGGCAGTCTAAATACGTTCATCCAAGAATGTTCTTGCAAAATAATCTACACTCCGCGTCCCAAGTCAAGTCCTTGTTTTACTCACGGAGTAAGAGTGTAACAAGTTATCATACGCATAGACTCACTTTTCATGTAGAATTGGTGTTGGTAAATTTTGTGAAATTTGGTGAATGTTCTACAAGAGGTAATTTTGTGAACAATTAGGTTGTTCCATAAGTCTTTTCATTTCTGAATTTTCGCTGCAGTAAGTTAAGCGCTGTTGTTCTAAATAGAGTTCAGGTTACCATTCGATAGAGCAAAGCAAGCTCTATAAGAAGGCTTTCATGCTTTTACACCAGCTTCTATCGCTCCAAGTTTGAAACCAAAGTCTAAAAAGTTTCGGATGCTCAGAAAATTGAGAATTATTTATACCTTCGTTTAAAATTTTCTGCATATTTCTCACTTGCTTACGCATATACATTCCACCTTAGACACTAGTACGTGCTGTTACTGCAATTTTTTATTAGATAGAAATTAAGAAAACGAAATTTTCCATGTTTTTACCAAAGCGTGCCGTGCTGTTCTTGCAATAGAGTTTGCATACTACAAGCCCTTAGAAGCACAACCGTAGATTTTTTGCTCTCTATCTCCCAAGATTATCGAATTTAGCTTCTTCACTCGAGTTTTTCATGGTAAATCCAATATTTCTCGAAAACTAGCCTTGTGGAAAGCTGATAATTTATGGTTGTACTTCTAAGGGATTGTGATAGCACAGTATCACTTTGGTAAAAACATGGAAATTTCCGTTTCTTTGTTTTCTAGCCAATAAAGAAACATAGCAACATATGAGTATGTGATGTGGAGTGTGTATGCGTGAGCGAGTGAGAGGTCAAAGTGACCTTTTTGAACGAAGATGTAAAAATTTTTTGATTATCTGGGAATCCGAAACTTCTTAGATTTTGGTTTTAAACTTGAGGTGGATCGAAGCTGGTGCAAAGCCGTTAAGCCCATCTTATAAAACTTGCTTTGCTCTACCGAATGCTGTCCTGGTGTCCTATTAGGTTGTCTAATTAGAATAAGAAGCGAATGAATTATCACAGCGAAAACTCAAAAATAAAAGGACTTGTGTGACAACCTAACAGAAGCAATTGATGAGACTAAGACTGAATTTGCTAGAGTAAAGCAGGAGCTAGCAGGGCCCGTTCACCGATGTTTCACCGCTCGTAACGAGTGGAAAAAATAACATAATTTGAAGGCATATGTGCATGCACAAAAGCGAGGTTGAAAATCGTTTATTTGATCGAAAATTTCTCGGCACTCAAAACCTTGTGAACTTTTTGGTTGTAACGTAAACTTTAAAATTTTCACCTATCGACCCATAGCTACTTGATATAATTGTCATCTTATAAGGAAGTACCATGTCAAAGAAGATAGGTCTGAAAGAATAACCTCACAAAGTTTTCAAATTCTTGCTTCTATTAGCGTTTCCCGCGAGTTTTAGTAACCAGATAACTTAAAAAGGACATCCTTTCGATCCAAAAAAGGTCCAAAATGCATCTTTTCACTCTTTTCCATCGGTTGTGTTCATGGCAGTTAAAGCAAGAACCTTTCAAAAAGTTACCAAGATATAAAACCCATTCTTTTGCCATGATAAGGTCTAGCTATTTTCCCAAATTTTTGAAATGAATTTCCGAACAAGTCCAAATAACGGAAAGAGCAAACCCTGCAGGATGCAAAAACAATTTTTCTCCTCTGCCCCGCAGTTAAGGAAGACAGAATTAAAATCAAAGTTTTACGTCCTCTAGTATGGTGTACGTCCCCTGCAGAAGCCACTTCGATTGAACATGCTTCCCTTGTTAGCTAACTCCAACCTTATAACACATCAATCAAAACGACCCAGCGAACAACCCACTTTCCAGAGACCCCAGGTTAAGTTTGGAAAAATCGAGATTCGATTTTTGAGTCCTTGCACGCTCACCAGCTTTGGATGCCACTAAGCCCGTCAGACCCCGCACGCACCAAACTAGTAAAGTTAGTAAACTAGTGACACCTACCTTGCTACTTCATTGGTTAACCATTTGGGATTGATTATCACTAATGCCAACAAAGCGACAAGCAAAGTGTTGGTGATAAAAGATCTAATCCACGGGCTTGTTTCAGACACTGTAAAAACTTTGTTTTACAATGCTTTTTGATAGTTGAGTCTGACAGTTCTGCAAAGTTGACATTTCAAGATATTGACTCAAACTTTTTCATGCTAACACCGCCATTTCTAGTTTCTCAAATGGAGACTATCATTTGAATTCAGTAATCAAAAGTTGGCTTTCAACTTTCTATGTGCTTCAGGTAAAGATCTTGTCAACTCTAATAAAGAATTTCTTTCCAAAGAATTTCTGCTGAACTCGATTTACTCATGCATGCCCTTCCGAACAAGACATAGACCTTACAGGTGCTGTCACTCTTCCATAGCTTTAAAGCGGCTTGGCAAATTGACGACTTTGGAGTATTCTTCGTTTTCGATTCCCTTTTCTGAGCTGAGCCAAAAACTGTGCTTCGCGTTTTTGAAGATATCAATAACTTGCTTTTTTGAACGTCGGAACTGCTGTTTGGGAGGGAAGCGGAAGCCATTTTTTGAACTAAGGTGGGTGGAGTTTCTCCACCCATCCGGACTCCACGAGCCAATCGCACTCTTGTAGGCCGGCTTTCGCTTTTGGCCCAAACAGCAGTTTCCAAGTCCAGAAAAGCGAGTCATAAAAATAAATCCTGTCCAACCCCCCCCACCTCTGCCGAGAGATATGCTGTATTTTATATGAAATTGTGTCCAGTTTCAACGGTAGATTTTTTTCTCAGCGAAAACCTAACTATCAATTGTTCTATCGGTGTAACAGTGGCCTTTTCTTGTCAACGTAGAACCGTCAACTTTCTCGCAGCTTTCATCTTCATTGCGACAAGAGAGCAGAAAGTGAGCACATCAAATCAACTGATGCATCGGTTAAATAAAATCCCTCACTTTTCACGGATCAAAAGACTTTAAAAAACAACGCTTCTATTTTCCATAATCTCAGCTTTCGAAGTGATCTGCAGCTTATTACGACCAATTACCAGGGCTCACCTACCCCCCTCACTTTTCACGAACGAAAATAGTTGAGATTTTTTTAAATGGAGAGAGCCCTCCCTCATATGGACCCAATATTGGAAGAAAGCCCTCCCTCACATGGGTCCAATAATGGACTCCATGACGTTGCTGTTGTCATTGTAAAACGGCAGCAACGAGCTGTTCGGTGGAGATGGGTTTTAGTTTACACTATTTTTTTGTTCGTTCAGGGGTAGCGTGGATGAAAGAGGATTTTGGTAGAATAGTTGTAAATGGTTGCGTTCCCATACGCCTTCAAAAAGACGGCAAGTTTGAAACGTCAAAACCCATTGTTAAAAATGTACTAACCTCCCATCGGCATAGTGACATATCATCGCATCAGCACATGCTAAATCTGAGACAGAGAAACTTGAAGACTACAGTTTTTATGTTTTTTTCGGGCAAAAATTGGAAAAAATTACATGTCTCTTGCTATATCGTTAATAAACAATTCATAAGTGATTCTTTATTTCATTCGAAAGATCCCTTATATTTCTTGATTTTTTGCCTATTTTTGAGGAACAGTGAATGTATTGAGGGATCGGAGAAACCTACATTCTTGTGCTTCTGGCCTGTTTTACCTTTCCAGAGCTATTAAGATGCAGCAACTGTAAGCAAAATGTCTATTGGGGAGGTTACATGCGTGGTTGTTTTGGGTGCAATTTTTTCGGACAAAGATTCGATTATGCGGGTAATCTTTAGACGTTGATTTGACCATACTTCACCTTAATCACTTTGTATAAATGCTTTGAACAAATGTAACACGATTACCTCTATATATACAAAATTTCTGAGGCAACCTGAAATGATCTCCGATTATTGAAGTAAAACCGGTGCGTAGTTGTACGAATTTGGAAGTTTTAGAACTTTTTGAAAAAAATTCAGAAAATCGTTTGTATCACGTGAAAGAACATAGCCGAAAGGTCTAAGCGGCACACGAATGGAAATCGGTGTCAATTTCAGGAATATTCACACACCAAATGGAATTTTTAGAGGTCCATGATTATACGAACACCTAAAAGAAACTTCTTTTTTTACTCGAAACTGCATTTCCAGATAAAAATTTACTGTAAGCTTACTAACAAAGTATGAGATTACTACACACTGAATCCAGTGCGGTTCAAAAAGCGTTACTCTTTTTGCAGGGTTCAAAATGCACTTAAGATTGAATCACCCCGAAAGCTTCTGTTTTTCTATGGATCTAGCTCTCTAACAGCTTCTGTTTACTCAGTAGATATTCGTTTAGAGTTTGGAACAATTCCTGTTGTCTCTTCTTGTTTCTCAGGCAAGTCCTCAACTATCCTAAAGTTAGCGCAATTTCGAGCCTTAAAACTCAGCTTTTGTAGTCCTATGATATATTAGGTTGTCCGGAAATCAATGCCCGTTTTGAATTTGAACCGCATTAAGTCAAACACTTCTCACTTCTAAATAGATTGCAAAGCACCATTCGATAGAGCAACACAAGCTCTACAAAAAGGCCATCTTGCTTTTGCGACAGCTCTCATCCACCTCGAGTTTCGAGCCAAAAACTAGAAAGACTCGGCAACCCGAAAAATCGAAAAAAATCGAAACTTCGTCTACAAAAATGATGCAAAAATTCTCACTTGCTCATTCAAACACTATCCACATAAAACATCTATATACGCCTTTGCTGTATTTTTCCCTCTGTTAGAAACCAAGTAAACGGAAATTTTCGTGCATTTGCCAAAGTGATGCTGTGTATACTTGGGTCCGAATCGAATAGAAATTCGATCATTCGAATAAAACATTCGTATATATTCGTATTCGAAATTCGATATTCGGAGTTCTTCCATTTTCGAATAATATTCGAAACTCGAATAATCAAAAAACAGGGTTTCGAATAAAATTCGAAAACTCGAATAATCAAAAAACGAGGTTTCGAATAAAATTCGAAAATTCGAATAATCAAAAAACGAGGTTTCGAATATTATTCGAAAACTCGAATAATCAAAAAACGGGGTTTCGAATAGATTTTATTCGAATGTTTTATTCGAATGTTTATTCGAATTCGTATTCGAATGACTCCGTATTCAGATTATTCGACTTTGTTGCAAAGCCAACTGCTGAGTATCAAGCTCACTTCGTCCACGTTTTTTTTTTTCGCAAAACTCGGTAATGCATCTTTTGCAACCGTTATACCTTTGAACTGTATGGAGAGTCACATTCTTCTGACTGCTTGCGACAGTAAAAAAATCATATGTGGATCTTAATTGATGTAGAAAGTAGAGCAAGCCCTTTGCTTCTACATTGTTGATGCTGATAAGAGATAAAGTTAATTCTGGCGTACATCAGTCTCTTTCAGACCATCTGAAGAAGAATCTTTTGGGCACAGCATACAAATTTATATCGACTGCTTTTCAAATCGTCCATAATGGGTAAAATATGACTTTTTGCTGTGTATAGACTAGATGCCGACCGATCGACATTATCGATTTTTGGGGAAGTTTGAGTTGCGGGGCTGAGAGTTGGTACAAGGGGGTGAGTGAGAGTGCTGATTATGAATAAAAATTTACTTTATAATTTTTATCGATTTTTGGAAAATCTCGAGCTACGAGCTTGGGAGTTGGTACAGGGGGAAATGAGGATGCTGATTAAAACCGAAATCTATTTTATCTTTTTCAGCAATTTTTGGAAAATTTTGAGCTAGGAGTTGGTATGGGGGATACTAGGGGCTGGTTATGATTGAATCGGCTCTAGCCAAATATGTCGGCAAGTTTGAGATGTGACTGCTTTAGTTATTCGATAAATCATTCGAATATTTATTCGAAATTCGACTTCCAATGTTCGAGTATATTCGAAATTCATTCATTCGATATTTTTGATTTTCCGAATTTATTCGATATTCGTTTATTCGAAATTTTGCCTTTTCGAATTTATTCGATATTCATTCATTCGATGAAAAATTCTCGAATTACCCAAGTATAATGCTGTGCCGTTTCCACATAGGTAGTTGTATACTACAAATATGTAGAAGTACAGACTCAAATTTTCAGCTTTCTACAAGCTTTAGTTCTCGAGAAATTTGAATTTTAGCTCGGACCACCTATCTAGGGAAAGCTATATTCGGTATTTCTCGAGAACTAAAGCTTGTAGAAAACTGAAAATTTGAGCCTGTACTTCTACAGGCTTGTGATATATAACTACCTATGTGGGGACGGTACATCATCACTTTGGCAAATGCACGAAAATTTCCGTTTTCTTGGTTTCTAACAGAGGGAAAAATACAGCAAAGGCATATATAGATGTTTTATGTGGATAGTGTTTGAATGAGCAAGTAAGAATTTTTGTAGGATTTTTGTGGACGAAATTACGATTTTTTTCGATTTTTCGGGTTGCCGAGTCTTTTTAGTTTTTGGCTCGAAACTCGAGGTGGATGAGGGCTGTCGCAAAAGCGAGATGGCCTTCTTGTAGAGCTTGCGTTGCTCTATCGAATGGTACTTTGCAATCTGTTTGAAAGCGAGAAGTGTATGATCTAATGCGGTTCAAATTCAAAACGGGCATTAATTTCCGGACAACCTAATACTAAGCACGATGTATCTGTGAGCTTTTTGTTGGTCAAAAAAGATGCAACGGTGAGCGTTTGGTTTGGCCACGCAGTCGTCATCTTACAAAATGGCTGTGCTTAATATTGCAATCATATATATCCTGCCTTTCGGTTAAAAAGCTCAAGACTAATTCTGCTATAAAAGAAATTCGAATATTTTAGGCGGTTACATCAACATTTAAGCAATGCACTTGTCTCATCGTAACTTTTTAACACGTTGACGACGGTGTCGCGCAATGGTGCGCGACAGGCAGTCTGTCCCTGTGGACGATGTCGCGCAATGGTGCGCGACACCCTTAACATCAGTTTTAATGTGCACAATGGTTCCAATTCGTGTTCATATAATCAAGTTAGGCTCGAAAGTATTTCATGTTGGCCCCGCCTCCTTTTTGGCAAACTCCGCGCACTCCACTGCCCTCTACAAAAAACTTTTTTTGTCCTCAAATCGTATAAAAAAGCTCATAGATGACAGGGGAACATTAAATAATCTTAAATTTGACCCCGCCCCCCGTAATTCAGGCTCCACCCCCCTCAGTGGCATGCTCCGCCCACTTTTCAAAAATGCCGGAATTTGCATGAATTCACTGATTTTGAGCAATTTCCAGCATTTTTTAAAAGTGGGCGGGGCTTGCCAAAAGTGGGCGGAGTTGCCCCGCCCACTTACATTTGTGTATCTCACGTATAGATGCATGCATACATATGTGCAGCCGGCTGTGAAAATGCCCGGAAACGGTTCGTCCACAGGGACAGACCTCCAAAAAATGGCTCGTCGTCAGCGTGTTAAGAGAAAATCTGAGTCATGATAATCAAAAGTCCTAATTCTCGTATAAGGGGTTGGGACTTGTGTCAGTAGATGATTGTTGTGCCAAAACCAGGTTTCTTGGTGGATGCTTATTCGACCGACGTTTCGACGTGCTCGTCTTTTTCAAGAGGTCTGAATGTAGATTATAGGCTTTTGGATCTGACCAGTACGCCGCCAAGAGCCTCCTCCACAAGTGCTAGTCTAGACCTCATCGGAGGATAGCAGCCAGCCGGAAATCACCAAAGTTTGTGAAACGAGCTAACCTTAACTCCACCGCATACCAGTAAGTCCGCACAATGGGACAATAGCGGACGTCACTGAGTGTCACCCAGTGAGTCAAGGGTATTTATGTGCGGCTGTTCAGATTGCATAGCGGTATGAACGGCAAGAGATCACTGTTGATTGACACGCATTCATTCTTAGCATTCATTCTAGGATTCCTCGTAAGTATCCATGCTGCCTCAAGGATCTTTCTTGCGCAAATCTCAGTCTCGTAAGACAGAATGGTACATTTGACTTTGAAGTCATTTCCACCATGTGCCTCAGCCTTGTGTCTTCCCAACGGTGTTGTTAATATCCCACGTCTTTTGCTAGCCAAATGTTCCTTTAATCTTACACCCAACGCTCTACCCGTTTCTCCTACGTAGCAGTCTTGGCAGCTCAAACATTCCAACTGGTATATCACACCTGCCTTTGCACAATCCCCAACATCGCCGTACGGGCATACGATGCATTCATCTACTATACATTCGTAATCGTAGAATCTATTCCGAACTAGCTGCTTCTTAATGTTATCCTTCGGTACCTCAACCAATATCACATCATTCTGCAGTTCAGCTCGGTGAATGCATCGTCTAGTTGCCGCGCTAACCTTATCTGATATAAAAGGGATGCAAAGTGGAACTTTATTGTTATTCTGTTTACGGATAGAGGTATCGGAAGGTGCAAAAGTTTT